GTCTTATTCCATTTACTTCAAAGCTGCGTGTGAGACGTCAGGAGTAACATCCCTCCTGAGTTATTGTATTCCAGCAGGAAAGCTGGAAAAGCGTGAAAAACAGGATTTGCTTTTCTAGTTAGTAAACACAGCCACTCATGCATCATTAGTAATACAGCATAATATTTGTGTTTTTGCACTTAAAAAACGCAGCTGCAGCTTGTTCGTGGATGGAGAATGCTCGGTGTCTGCCTATGAAAATTCTGACTGGGAACTTAGAAGTTCCGACTTCCTGGAAACCACCCTTAATCTCATTAACCTCCTGTGTTCCCTTTTTTCTCTGTTACTGTTTAGTCCCTCTTCTTTTCTGTTTAATGTTTGCATTTGCTTTCTTCCTATTTTACTTTGAAAGTCCATTTTCTTCACTGTCCTGTGAGTTTTACTTCCTGTCTGTCTTCTTGATTCCCAGCTTGTTTGTTCTGCTCTCTCCTCTTCCTCATCAGGGTATAAATCATCCTGTCCTCCTTTTTATCGAGTCGTGTCTTCCCCTCTCTCCCCGAGCCCTTGATTTTCTTTACCTGCTTGAAGCTTACCTTTTGCTCCAACTTTTATGACACTTTGTTCACGTCTTTGAGTAACAGCTGTTAAAACTTTACTGACCAGCTGTTCAAAGAGTAATATCTTCAGCAGAGTGGTCTGAACACAGAGGTGATGAAGTTTCTTCGTGGCGTTCAGAAGTCAAACACAATCTTTGGTACCTTTTTGGCTGTGCTGTGGTCTCCTGCTCTCTGATAGGCCAGGCCTACTTGGAAAGCTGCCTCCCCCTGCATGTGTTTGTCTTCAGCTGAAACAGATGTAAAAATAAAAACTACGTTATAAACACTAATCTTCTGTGATCATATGAAAGCTTCACTTTAAAGGATCTTTTTTAAGCAGAGTCGATCTGATGTCTGTTTAGCAGGCCTGACTTCTATTGAGGAATTTATCCATATATAGGTTTTAGTTTTCGAATTCAAAGATCTTCCTGTGATTTTCAAAGTAAAATCATCAGGATTTTTGTAAAAAGATACTTTAAAAATAATAATAATAGATGTTTGTTTATCAAATGCCCAGCAATAACCCCCAACCTTGTAGTAGATACACCCATGGTATCAACTGTAAATCCTTGTCTCACATTCACAAGATTTTCAGACCTTACTGACCTTTGACCTTTAGGTCACTGAGGGTGGTGTTATTAATGTTTATATTGAACCACAAAGCTTTCAACATAAATTATATATTTGTTAATTTCTTTGGTGTAGCACGAATGGGAGACATCAATATCAATAAATAATCAATTATCAATAGATAAACAATAAACATAAAGCTGTAAAACTTATGAAAACGCAGTTAAAAATCCAAACTTCAAGCCTTCCTTTGTGTTTTCTAAAACTGTCCAGTGGGGCCAAAGTGGAGTCTTCTGTGGGCCAGTTTTGGCCCCCGGGCCTTATGTTTGCACCCCTGATTTAGATGGATAACAGCACTAAGGCTGGTTTAGAGGTGAATAACAAACTGTACTAAATGAACGTAACGTAAATGAAGTCTTTATAGTATATATACTATATAGAGTGTCTCTGCTCGATTCTTCTGATGCATCACAAATGAAATTCTTTTTGGCGACTGAGTTGAGGCTTTCGCTTGGATTATGGTTAAAAAAAACCCCCTGTAATTTATTTTAATAAACAGAATAAATAAACAGACAAATCTCCTCCTTCTTCAGAAGAATAAACATTTCAAACTCTGTAGCTATCAGGACCAGTTCTTAACCCCCTCTGAAAACGTGGTACTCGTTGTTTTGCTGAATATTTCTCTGCTCCTGCCTTCACTGTGATCCTCTCAGCACAAACACCTCCTCCTCGGTCTATTTTTAATCTAAATGTTGCACATGTGTGTGTTTCCGTGCATAGATTACTCCGATGCGTTGCCTCTCACTGTGTTTTTAGCCCTGGTTCCACCTACACTCTGCGGCCCTGCTGTTGCCTTCGTGCAGCAGCATCAGGGCCTTGTTGTGGTCCTCGGCGGCCAGCGGCGCCTCCGCGAGCTCTCTGTAGATCTTCCACAGATCCCGGCAGGCCCGGAGCTTCAAGGGCTGACCGTCTGAGTCCAGCCAGCCGCCGTCCTCCGCCTGTTTGCGGCATAGCTCTCCCTGCTGCCTCGCCTCCTCCAGCTCACCTGAGAGAGGTGGCATTTTTATAAGAGTGAGTGCAACATGAGTTCAACCGTCACAGGAAAATAAAGAGAAAAAACAGCAACAAAAAAACAAAATCAAATAAAAATACCAAACATCTAGCTGGTTTTGAGGCAATAAGATTGAGTTTTAGATCATCTGTCTTGGAGCAACTGTGACCACATACTTTCCTCAGGGATTAATAAAGTGCTGTGATTCTGATCATTCACTGTCACTATACTCGGTGTGTGCACCTTGATCCAGGTACAGCTCAGTCAGGCAGGCCCGGGCCTCAGTGGCTGCTCTGGAGAACCTCCCTTTCTCTCTGTCAGTACAGCTGTGGTAGAAGTAGAAGCGGAGCCAGAGGTCCTCGGGGTCTGAGAAGATCCGACCCAAAAGGAGACGCTCCTCGCAGACGGTGGACCAGGTACCTGCAACAGAAGTTACCTGGTCCTAAACCATGGATGCAGTCTTGTTCTGTGTTCTACCAACAATAACTTTACACTCATTATGTCACTGACACACAAACCCACTGATATAATCACTAAATGAAGCCTTACTGGAATCAGAAGGATTGAATCGAGGCTCTGTGTGCACGTGTGTGTGTGTGTACCGGTCCTTTCAGCCTCCTCAGCCAAGCTCAGGTGCTGGCTAATGGTCTCCATTTTGTGTCTTTGTTCCACCAGAGGAGGAGCACGAAGCCTGAGTAATCCCGGTTCAGCCGTCGCCCTCCAGTCCTGATCAGAGCGCAGCAGAGAGACGAGCTCAGAGAACGACCTGAATGACAGAAAGACATTTTTTGGGGATCTTTTTAACTTTGTGTAATTTTGAAATCTAAGAAGATATAAGAATAAGATATAAGAAGAAAATAAAAACTCGAATGACCACATGAGAAAAGCAGGCCACTACCAAAGCACGTCAGAGCATCAGTCCACTGTTTGTTAGAAATGTGCTGCACTGAAGCTAAACATCAACTGTGGAAGCCTCCATCTTCCATGAATTCCTTTTTATTTATAATGCGGTTGTTTGTTGTACAGTCTATTTCTCATGATCCTGTCAAAGGGAAACTGGAGTTTGCCGCAGCCAGTAATTATTCCAAGTCGGATTTTCTTTGATAGCAGTAACTTCAAATGCTCACCGCGCCTGCATCAGCCACAAACCGTCAAACAGAGATTCAATATAACACGGGAGGAATCACAGCAGTGAGATGAGTCTGGTATCAACATGTGGGGGAGAAACAAAACATAAAATGAATTTTGAAGGTTTCTCCAGAGTACCGGCTCTTTTCCCCCTGTGTCATAGACATTAAATGAATGCAGCGTTGCTGTTGAAACTGAGACGTACACCATGAGAAGGTTTTACCTCTGGTTGCAGATTTTAACAAAGCCTGAAAATCTCACACACCTGTCTCCAGCACTAACAAACTTAAGAGACCTCAGAGCTGCTGTCAAAATAAGATGACTTAAAAAAGTGCCACTCTGTGCAGTTTGCAGTGTTGGGGAGTAACGGAATACATGTACCGCCGTTACGTATTTAAAATACAAAATATGAGTAACTGTATTCCGTTACAGTTACCG